CCACACCCAGCTAATTTTTTTTCTTAAAATTTTTGAAGAAACAGTGTCTCCCAATATTGCTCAATCTGGTCTCCAACTCCTGGGCTCAAGCGATCCCCCTGCCTCAGACTCCCAAAGTGCTGGGATTACAGGTATAACCTACCACGTCCTATCAACCCCATCTTTCACTTCATTACCAAACTTCTCGAAAGAACCCAAGAGGAGCCAGCCACAATATCAAGCAATAATGGGTTAACAGAATTGGGTTATGAAGTTGCAAACATTAGCCTCCTGAACAAGGTGGAAGCAACCCAATGACCAGAGCTGAAACATAAGGTCAGAGCCAGCCCACCCAATGGCAGTGGCCAGATGCCAGTCCCTGAGGATTAACATGGAGCACCCAGGAGGCAGAGTTGGTCCCTAGGCCTGGGACAGAGAGAGACTAAGGGGAGACATATGCGGCCCTATCTATGTGGAAGAGAGGAAATGGGCGGCAGGGACTGGTCACAGTTGGCAGGAAGGGCCATCATTAAGTACTCCCTATACCTCTGTCCCCTTCCTGCCACTGCAGGGCCTCAGCACTGTCTAGACAACCCTGGTGGAGGGGCCCTAGCCTGTGCCTGCAAGTCTCCAAGGAGTGGGAATGTGCTACTCCCCCAAGCAGCCCATTTCATTTTCAGGCAGATTTTCCTTTTGTCCTGAGTCCAATTCTGCTCTGGAGCCACACAGAAGTCAAGACTCCTTTTTGATATGATAGCCCTGCAAAGATGTGAAAATACTGATCATGAAATATCTCTTTTCTTGATGAAACATTAAGTTCCTTCAACCACTCATTGAACAAAATGGCCCTGAGAGCCTCAGGCCATGCAAGATGTTCCTCTCTGGATGCATCCACTTTGCCAATGCTTACCTCAACCTACTGTGCCATGAATGGTCATACTTTGCGCGTGAGCTTTTGAGGACAAAGTAGAGTACAACGACCATTACCTTCATTCTGGTCAGAAGACTTCCAAGGTCTTATTTTGCCTCTTTGGCACTCATGTGGACTCATGCTGAGGTGCCCTTTCCACAAGCTGTGACACAGGTCAGGGGTCACTGAAAACTTACTTATGAAGCATCACTGGCTTGCACTCCAGTCCTCAAAGCTCCTCAAGCCACATCTCAATGCATGTCATTAACAGCATGGTAAATTAATCAAATACGTATCCAACCCTTCCAGTTTCCTCTATTTTTCCTTCTCTTGATTCCACTCATTCTAAAGTCTTAGTTCTGAGTTCAACAAAGCCCAGTTCTTTCTGCTGATCCTGCACTCCCGTGGGAACTCACTGCCCTGTGCTGCAAGCGACCCTTCCTGCCAGCTGGTCTGCAGGGCTCTTTGCTGCTTGTCTCACCTCCCTCCAAGAGCTGCCACAGCTCCCAGCAAAGGCAGCTGAGCCTCTGTTCCAAAGGGGTGGACACTCCAGGTCCTGCCGCTCTGGGATGAGCTGGCCACTCTGGCATGCTTCTACCCAGGGACTGGATAGCTGTGTGGCCACAGCTGCGCTTGGGTAAATGGACACCAATTAAAGGATTACTGGCAATGAGAAGTCACTCCTGATTCTCATTTGATTGGAAAGGGAATTTGGGACTCAAAGATAGAGCTGCCACAGCCAAGTGTCTTCCCCAGCCCGCCTGCTCCGATTCCATGCAGGACAAATCTAGGCATGTCCCAAAATAACGCAATCATTAGATAAGAGGGTGTGTGGCCAGGAGCCAGCAATTAGTCTGTTGGGCCCAGGATATAAACTCCACATCTTCAAGGGAACCTAGAAAAGACTCTTCCCAGCCCAGGCCTCTCCCGATCTTCTCACAAGGTTAACTAGTCTTTTTCCCCCCTTTCAAGTCTTTGCCTTTTTCTAAGGAACTCTTTAAATCTCAGTCCTCCTTTTCCTCAACAGCTGTATCTTCTCATTCCTTAAAAAAAATTTAATATTGGCCAGGCATGGTGGCTCACACCTGTAATCCTACCACTTTGAGAGGCCAAGGTAGGTGGATTACCTGCGGTCAGGAGTTCAAGACCAGCCTGGACAACATGGCAAAACCGCATCTCCACTAAAAATACAAAAATTAGCCAAGTGTGGTGGGCAGGAGCCTGTAATTTCAGCTACTCGGAAGGCTGAGACAGGAGAATCGCTTGAACCCGGGGGCGGGGCAGAGGTTGCAGTGAGCCGAGATCACACCACTTCACACCATCCTGGATGACAGAGTGAGACTCTGTCTCAAAATAAATAAATGAATACAAATTTTAAAATGTAATACTTCCCAGCAACTGCTGCCACAATTACTGCTCACCCAAAGGCTGCTGTTGACAAATCAAACCACTACCTCCCTTTTGAATTCACCAGCACCACTTCTATCTCTCCCCGTCTTAAAGATGCACTGTTTCCAGGTTCTAAACTCTCCGTCTGTTCCAATTATTGTGCCTGCCCCTCCACAAATCTCTATTCCTTTTCCCACCATCACCTCCCCACCCAACCTCCATTTCCATCTTCTCCTTTTCCCCATTTTTAAATCACATCAAAACCCTTCCTCCATAAGCAAATAACTTTTTTTTTTTTGAGACAGAATTTCACTCTTGTTGCCCACGCTGGAATGCAATGGTGCGATCTTGGCTCACTGTAACCTCCACCCCCAAGGTTCAAGTGATTTTCCTGTCTCAACTTCCCAAATAGCTGAGATTATAGATGCGAGCCACCAGGCCTGAGTAGTTTTTTTTTTATTTTTAGTAGAAATGGGGTTTCACCATGTTAGCCAGGCTGGTCTCCAACTCCTGACCTCAGGTGATCTGCCCACCTCGGCCTACCAAAATGCTGGGATTGCAGTCATGAGCCACCATACCCAGCCAAAGGGCTTCTCAGAAAGCAGCACCTACTCTCTTCTTCAGACACCAAAAATATTCAGCCTTGTTACACACAATGGATCTTAGGGGAAAATTCTAAGCAAATTGTTTTTATGGACTAAAAACCCCACAGAAAAGTAAGGATTATGTGTGTCCCCTGTACTATAATTGAAAGGGGAGACCTAGAATCAGCAGGGCTTCCAAGTTTAATGAATGCCAGATTGAGGAGGAGCTTAATGACTCTCTTCAAACATCACATGCATCATCTACTATCCCTGTTTTCATACAGAATTGAGGCAAAGCCTACAGGATTAAATCTGAGATCTGGTAGGTCTGTACTTGATTTCAGCCGAAAGGCCAAGAAGCAAAATGATTCAGTAGATCTGAATGAACACTCTATGTATGCTCCCACACCCACTCATGAAACATGGGGGTGCTGCAGATCCACTGTGACTTAGGTCCTCATTGCGATGGAAGCTTCTCCTAGTTAGAATGGATTTACATGGCTTTATCACATCCTTCTGCATCCCTTTTCCTTGAGGTCAAAATATTTGTTGATTTTAGTATTTATGCACTGAAACCTCAATTTAAATCTGTAAATGGGTATATATAGTTATAGATATACAATAAGAGCATTTTTAAAGGCCACTGTGCAACACAATGAACCAACTGAAGAATTCACCTGGACCTCCGACCCTAATGAAAAGATGTCTGGTCACAGAAGGATTTGAAGATGCTTGGAAGTTACAAAGTAGACAAAGTTCAAACTTCAAAAGGCTTGACAAAAGCAAAAAAAAAAAAAAAAAAAAAAAAAAAAAAGCAAGGTACAGTGGCTCCCACCTGTAATCCCAGCACTTTGGGAGGCTGAGGCAGGAGGATCCCTTGAGCCCAAGAGTTCAAGACCAGCCTGGGTAATATAACAAGATCCCATCTCTAAAAAGACAGTAACAAAATTAGCCAGGCATGGTGGCATACACCTGTAGTCCCAGCTACTTTGGAAGCTGAGGTGGGAGGATCACTTGAGCCTAGGAGTTCGAGGTTATAGTGAGCTATGATTGTGTCATTGCACTCCAACATGGGTAACAGAACCAGACCCTGTCTCTAAAAAAAGAAATAAAAATTTAAAAGTGGTTACACAACTTAGGATGATTAACAATGATGAGATTTTTAAAAGAAACAGGTACGCATAAAGAGCTAGAACTCTATCTGAAAAAGCATAAATCTAATGCAAACTGAAAAACAAATAAATGTAAACAAAAGTGATAATGCCTTGGAGGGGCTGAGCAGGAGATTTCTTTTCCATTTTTGTATATATCTAGGTCAAAAGTAAACAAAAAAATTAAGCAAAAAAGGAAATACAAGTTCTTGCCTTTAGGAAGGTCTATTTTGACAGGAACATATACAGAATGGGAAGATAAAAATCAAGATCCACAGAGATATAAACCAACCCCATCATTTGAAAGATAAGAGAACTAAGGCCAGGAGAGACCAAATGACTGTCAGTTACAGAAATGAGACTGCACCCTAGGGCATCTGCTTATGATTATGACAATGGCCTTCTCCATTCTATCATTCTGCCAGTGAGTTTACTCCAGAAAAAAATAGGGCTAAACTCTCAAGGAAATACTTCTGCAGAAGCAAAAAGCTCTATGCCTGGGACTCTTCACTGCACTGACAAAGTAGGAAATTTAAATGTTGAACAGGAAATTATTAATTATATTGATTTGACATGATGAAAGTGATTACAATTATTAAAAATGATGACTTAAAGGCTATGTAGAAACATGTACTGGACATTTTTCATGTTAAGTGGAGAGAAGTAGGGTACAAAATTAGAGACAGTATAGTATTAGTCCCCCGAGTGTGAATTTCAGCTCTGCCCCTTATTAGCTCCATGGCCTTAAGAAAGTCATTCAACTATTCTGAACCTCAATTTTACTGCCTCAAAAAGAATAATAGTATTATGTATCTTACAGGATTTTTATGAAGCTAATTTGAGAATAATGTCTGCCAAATAGAAATGTTCAATGTTAATCACTACCACTGTCATCATTTTACTATAAATTCAATTATGAATGTGCTGAGTAAGAATTGGAAAGTGATAGGCAAAAATGACAACAACCACAATGGTAGGAGGAAGAGATTATAAATATGTGTGCTTTTTAATTTTCTCTAAAGTGTTACATCATTTTCCAATAAAGAAAAACGCATTTTAAGTAGGAACCCGAAAAAAACCCTTACTTGGGACCTGGGGTCCTGGTCTCGACTTTTTCCTCGAAGGGCCCAAGGCTTCCTGTGCCCAGTTCCTGTGGCATCTGTTGGAGAAGGTGAATAGTATTCTGAACACCTTAGTCAGGGGGACATACTCTAGAATCTAGAAGGTGCTGTCTTGATTAGATCAGCCCCCGAGAGCAGCTGTAGCTACCAGTTGAATCAGATTCATTCATTCATGCAGGCATTCATTCATTCATCCATATACTTTTTGAACCACTATTATATGCAAGGAACTTTTAAAGAATTACTCTGACCCAATGTATGAATTTGGAATAATCTCCAAAATACTATATAAGTGAAGAAAGCAAGCTTCAGAACACTGTGTATAGAATTCTACTATTTGTATTAAAAATAGATATATAAATATACATATTTATAAACTTGTAAATGCATAGAATTGCTCTGAAAGGATACACAACATATAGATAACAGTGATTAACTCTGGAGAGGGGACTAGAGGCTGACCTCCATGGGGAAGCTTACTGTTTATTGTATACCCCTTTGTATTGTGGAATACAATTGTATTTTTTGTACTGTGGAATGTCTTACCATGTATATGTATTAATTTTTCAAAACAAACAAACAGAAAATAAAAGAAATTGCCTGGTGCTGAATATACAGTGGTGAACGGGGCAGAGCTTCCTCAGTCAGTCTTGGGGAAGGCAAGTGTTGAGGTTACTGGGCCACAATTATTAAATTTTTAAAAACCAGACTGTTTACATAAGTTAAGGGGAAAGTTCTTTCTACAACCATTAGCTTATAGTAATTGAGCATATCATTTTACAGAGATAAAGCAGTTGGAAAATAAATACTAAGTAATTTGTCAAGTCTTAGAGTGTATTAAATTGTAGTTTCTACAAGGGTAGGGATCTTATCTGTTTAATTTGATCAGTAGAGCCTTCACTGCAGTATAATGTGAAGATAAATGCTTGTTACAGCAAGCATTTTCTGATGACAAATGATAGCACAACCATTAAAAAAAAATCTTGAAAAAGAAAAGACCAGAAGATACTGGACTCTGAGGGAACCAGGTGTTCCCTGTGAGGGTTAGGCAACCTTTTCTAGACAGTTCTCAAAAAATGACGGTGTTCAAATGGCAAGGTAAATCTCAATGAGAATGAAAGGTTGTAGAGACACCACATGTGTTTCGGAATGTCACAGTGTGATGCTCAAGGCCCTCCTTGGGGTGACAAGGCACAGATGGACTCCAAAGAGAACCTGGCACTTGGAGGGGCACCCCAACTACAGAAGTAGGAGAGCAAATGTCTGGAAGGCTGCAAACCACTGACAAGCTGGCAGCCTGTCAAAGCAGTCTTAGTCACTGAGGAGCACAGGGGTTGACAGCTTGACTCAGCACCATCATTACAGGTAGCCACTGCACATCGTTTAACCTCTCTGAGCCTCAGTTCTCTTCTCTGTAAAATGGAGGACAACTGTGAGATCTTTGTGAGGATTAAAGGAAAGAATCACCAGAAAATGTTCAGCAAGATGCTGGACACACAAGCAGGGCTTAAAATGTTATTATCATCACTCTTACTAAATAATGCCTAGGTGTCCTGGGCCACTTCATAATTGATAATCAGCATCCAAGTCCAAACAGCAGACAAAATGTGCTCCACCCTCCATGCCCTAAGGTCAAGTAAAGATTTCCCCACATACATATAGTGTTTTATAAACTAGAAAACACTTTCACATTCATGAGCTCACAAACGGCTGTGAAGCCAGTTGGATGGGAATTACTAACTCTACTGTGAAGGGGAGGAGACAGTGAGGTGAAGTGATTTGTTAAGAGCTGGTTAAAGGCAGAATCCAGGCCAGGACCCAGGTTTCCCAGGGAGTGGCTCAGCATTTTTCCAACTCACGCTCTTCCAAGGAAAGAGATGTATTATCTGGGGTCAGGTATACATACAATTCCACCATCTCTGCCTGCTCACCAGCTATCATTATATCATCCTTGAGCAGCCTTCTTTATGCCCCAGGCAAAGACCTCTAATAGATAAATTCGGCCAGTCATTTCAAACCGTTCTATCAGCCTCCTCCAGAACCCGTTTCTGTGAATGAACCCAGGGTACAAGGATGGCTCCCTGCAACTAGAATTAGGGATGGGACAACAGCTACAGCACGGCTAGCTCTGGCTTTCCAGGTAGCTGGAAATAGGCCTGGATTGCCCCCTGCCAGTGTGGAAGGCGGGGAGGTAGAAACCTTGCCAGGAAGAACAGTCATTAGAAGGGTGCAGACAGTGAGTCTCTCTGAAACTCAGGCAACCTTTCCCACTGCCATTAGCATTTCCACTAAAAACGTGGCATTTGATAGAGGGACAAAAACGTATTTTTTTTTTCAGTTGTGAAAAGGTCAGGCATATTTATCTGACTTAATAATTTATCATTGATATCTAATGCCTCCTTGAAAGACGACCTCTACAAACGCAGCCAGCACCCTCTTCCTTTTACTGCACTAGATCCTGCTGGGCCCAGCGCCATGCCACCTGGGTTGGAAGTCAGAGGACACCTCCACACAGCCCTGCTCCTCGTGCTTGGGCGGGCCCCGACTGCACCATCCGTGAAAAGACAGCCAGTCTCCCAAGTCTAATCCCAATTCTGCTATATCTGAGTTCTCTGTGGCAGCAGCAATGCTGTAAGAAGTAAGAAAGCTCTTGAATGCTGTAAGAAAATTACAAAATTCCTCTTCTCCATCCGCTTTTCCCTTCTTCCCGGTAAGTGGTTCTCTTAGGTTGAAAATCATCTGAAGGAAAGATGAAGGTGCCCAGAAAATTTCGACAGGCCCTAAAGCCAGTGCCACTAGGCCGGGGAGACCTGGGAGGTGACTTGACTGTTATGGAGCCCTCCCCTTGCGCCTTCGGAAGGTCTCTAGAGAACTAAGTCCAAGGCTCCTGGTTTCCTAACCACAAGCTCCAGAATCTAGAGAAGGCCTTCCTTAGACAGTAGGAAGTCTTGTCCTCCCTCAGAGATGGAACAAACAGGGAAGTCTGGGAAAGACCCTTGGGTGGGACAGGGTGGGGCCAGGCTCACTTGGAGAGGAATACAAGAGCCTACCTGCATGGTGAGAAGATTTTTTATTTGAAATATAGTCTTGAGCAACATGAGTGTAGCCAAGAGGAGGAGGGGCTGGCCTGCCTGGAGCAGCAGCCTCTCAAATGGCACGAGAGCAGGAGTACAAATATTCCAATGTCTGTGTGCCCCAACCCCACCTGCCAGGAAAGGCAGAACGAAGACCCACCCACAGCGCCTTCTCAAGGGGTCTGGCTCCTGGCTCCTGCCTGCCTTGGCCTTACCTCCTGCTTTCCCCAGGTTCCAAACAGAGGTGTGCAGCAGAGGCTTCTCCCACCCCACTCACAGAGACATGGTGAGCCAGTGTGACAATTAGTTCTCAGGACTATTTTGAGGGAAGAGAATCAGAGAAGACAGGGAGGAAAGGCAAGGTGAACAAGGGCCCTCACCAAACCAGGCTAGGCAGAGCTCTCCCAGAGGCACTGTGTCAGCAGCCCTCATTTCCCTCCTCCACAGGCTCTAAAGGCAGGAAGGAGAGCTCGTGTCTGCAGGAAAATAGAGCTCTGAGGAGTGCCCTGGCTGAAGGCAGCAAGCAGGAACCTCCCAGAAGAGCACAGCTGCTGCAGGGTTCAAGCATAGCGGACAGCATTGGGGTTGGGCCACATAAGCAGCCTGGGGTTGGAAGGACACAGACAAGAGATGGGGTACCAAGAAGCAGCACAAAGCCATAAATAACAGAAGCAAATTCAGAGCTGTGAGGGTCCTGGCTGACCCCACATTTCCTGGGGCTGGGGGATACCCAGCACTGGCAGCTCAGGGCAGACACTACTCCAGGGTACAACCGGCCACACTCACACCCGCACCGAGGGCAGAGCCTTTTATTTCCCAAGGTCCGCACAGCAGGTGGAAGACACTTCGGCACCACCCCTGACCGTGCACACTGCAAAGCCTCCGGTCACACCTGAGGGGACAGTGCGTGGCTGTCCTGGTCCTGAGAGGCCTGTGGTTGACTGTGATCATCTTGGCCACCCTCCTCCTCAGGGGCCAGGCCCAGCGATCTCCTTGCCTCTGGGTCAGTTGACAAAGGCTCGCCAACACATTCTTCCAGTCCATTCTCTCTAGTCTCCATGGGCACCTCCTCCCCGGAGCCCTCCTCTGGCTCTGCCGCCTCCACTGCCATCTCCACTGCCGCCGATGCCTCCTCTTCTTCCTCCTCTTCCTCCTCCTCCTGGTCTCTCACCTTGTGGACAATGAAGAGGTGGCGGCTGAGGGAGCTGGCAGAGGTGTAGCACAGACCACAGAGGAGACACTGGGCTGTGGAGCTGTCCGCCTGGTGCTGAGGTATGTGGCTCTGAAACTCGAGCCCTGAGTCTGTGGCAAAACTACATTTTGCACACTGAAAAAGGGACTTGTGCCTTTTGGTGGAAGAGACAGTTGCGCCATTGCTGGTGCCTGGAGCGTCCCCCACTCCACTGACTGGTCTTTTCAGATGGTTCACCTGAAAGGAGAGACAGCGTGAGGAGAGTCCAGGCCAAGCCCTGGAATGAGCCCCCGGACATGACCATGAGCCCAAGGACTCAAAAAAAGGCACGACCCAGGCCAGAGTCACCCCAGCCCTGAACGCTGGTTTACATTTGGTTTATTTCAATTCTTTGTTTTGTAATGTAACCTATGCATGTGGCACAACACTCCAAAAACATGGCAAGGGTATAGAGATTACCCCACTCCCCAGGCCTGCTATCCAGAGAACATATTACCTGGGTTTGTGACTCCTCCAAGAGATACCCTATGCATATACAAAACCAAACTACTGTCTCTGACAAAATGATGGCATGCCATGAATACTTTTCTTTTCTTTAGCTTTTTGGGGGCAGGGTCTCACTTTGTTACCCAGGCAGGAGTGCAGTGGCGCGACCACAGCTCACTGTATCCTTGACCTGCGCCTAAGCGAGCCTCCCACTTCAACCTCATGAGTAGCTGGGACAAGTGAACGTCACTGCACCGGCTAATTTTTTATTTTATTCCATGAGACAGGGTCTCATTTTGTTACCCAGGTGAGAGTGCAGTGGCGTGACCACAGCTCACCGCAGTCTTGACCTCAGGGCTTAAGTGATCCTTCCGCCTCAGCCTCCTGAGTAGATGGAATTATAGGTACACACCACCTCAACCAGCAAATTTATTTACTTATTTATTGTAAAGACAGAGTCTCCCTATGTTGTCGGGGCTGGTCTCGAACTCCTGGGCTCAAGTGATCCTTCCACTTTGGCCTCCCGAAGTGATGGGATTAGAGGCATGAGCCACCACACCCAGCATATGCATGCTTTTCTTCACTCTGCTTTTTACTTAACAACATGTATGGGAGTGTGTCTCCATGGGAGAACATACAGAGGCTTGATTCTTCTAAAGGCAGCACACTAACCCACTGTGGAGATGGGAAGTGCCCAGTGGCAGATATTTAGTTGAGTTCCATCTGTGTTACTGCACACAGTGCTGCAGCAAACATCCTTGAGCAGCCTTCTTTATGCCCAAGGCAAAGACCTCTAATAGATAAATTCTACAAGCGCAATTGTTGGGTCAAAGGGTATGTGCATTCTAGGGGAAGGGAGGATGTGCATTTTACAATTGGACAGGTGTTGCCAAAAAAAATCAATCAATATCCCCAGCTACTATGCATGAAAGGGCCTTTGCCAACCACTGACACCATCTGAATAGGGAAGAAAGTTTTGAGAATGCCCTGAAACTCCAGGCGGCTCTTAGGGCTTCCCAGACATACCTGACCCCTCTGTGGAATAGCCCCCTACCATGGTATGGAAAGAGGCTGCAGTGAGGAAGAAAAACCAGGCTGCTCCAGAAATTGGAACAGGGCATGGAACCAGGATGAGATCATAGGGCAAGGAACCAGGATAGCAGGTCTAGGCCTGGCTCTTCCTATATCTAGTGAGAAGGTTGGGAGGTAAGTTGGCCAAACATCGTTAGCCTCATCTGACAAGGCAATCCTGTGTGCTCCTGCCTCAGGACTGCTGTGAGGCAGAAAGAGAATGGTGTATGTGAAAATGCTCCAAAGTCCACAGAGCACAGCACACACCTACAGAGGGGGCCATGGTAACAGGGAGGCAACAGTAACAAAAGGCTGACAGGCCACCTTATGGGTCTTTGTCCTTATCCTCTACTTGTGTCCAACGCCCAGGGGAGTCACACGGGACTAGAGAGTGACCCACACTGAGGGAAGCTGTCACTCTGATTGCTCTGTGGCCACAACAGCAGCCTTCCTAATGCCCCTCCAGCTCCGGCAGGCAGGGAGCCCACACTCACCTGAGGGGAATGTCCACCCGGAGGTTTGACTTTGGATGTCTGGCTCAAATCAGGGTTTCTGATGCCATGCATAAGGCTGATGTGGCTCTCCAGGAGGGAGGGCCGAGGAAAGCTGGGGCTGTCCTCTGTGCAGTACCTGCAGAAGCACAGCAGAAAGGTCAAGTAAGAGTCTGGGCCGCAGGCTCCCTCAGTGCTGTTCCCACCACAGCCAGGAAGGAGGGAGTCTGCAGCAGACTCCTGGGCTGGCTGGTGCTGGGTGCTCCACAGAGGGATCCATCCAGAGGGCTGCCAAGGTGGCAGACAATAGCACATCGTAATACTTGCACTCTTGACACATGGCCCTCAGCCACAGTCTCACTGGACACTCCCTATGTCACTGCCCAGAGACCCAAGTGCTAGTCCAGCAGTCAGAGTGAAAGGGCCAGGTACACTCCAACGCACAGGCAGATGGTGTAAGAAGCCTCTCGGCCTCAGGGTGCTTCGTGACTGAGAAGCTATTCAGACCCAGGCTAGAGTAACAGGGGAAGGTTCAGGAGCTACCAGGTTCTGGAAGCTGGTTTCTGACCTGCCCCTGATTTCTCACTTAGCCAGTTTCTTCCTGTAGGAAACTCACTTGTCTCTTGTCTTAGACACCTGATCTTGCAGCAGAGAAAAACCCCCGTGGTGCCATGGACAGAGTCTTCTGAACCTCAGGCCTCCTCACTATCATCCCAGGGACTCACCCGCAGGTGTAGACCTTCTTTACTGTGTCGTGGTTGTTGCGGATATGTTTGCGCAGGCTGTTGGGGGTGTGGAAGGACTGTTCACACTGCCGGCACGGGTACCGCTTCAATGTCTACGGAAGGAGGTGGCAACACACAAAGCATCAGAGCTTAAAACAGTTCTGGGTACATCTTTCTTCTCAGATGCCATGGGCAGAAAAGAGGATACCCCCAACGACCTCAACATTTGTGGTACCCACCAGGCCCAAAGCACAGGAACCCTAGGGTTGCTGACTTACAGAAAGAAGTCCAGAGGACTGGGCTCTGCATTGTGACTACATGGCTGCACTTACCCGACCATGGCTCTTTTTCATGTGGGACACATAGCTCTCCCGATCTGGAACCCACTCCTGGCACTCCCGACAGGTCCAGCCAGTGTTCCTCAGCCGCGGCCTGGCTTCCACCCTGCGATGGGCTTCAGGCCTACCCCAGCGGCCAGAAGGCTGGGAGCTGCTCCGAGCAGCCACACTAGTGGCTGGGGGCTCAGTGGAAACTCGAGAGCCAGGGCGGCTTGAGGATGAGTCCGCTGAAGACTGGAGGCTTGACAGCTCGTCCACATTTCGGGGAACACCGTGGGTGCTCTGGGGATGGGGAGAGCGATTACTAACTGGGCAAGGGGAAAGATGCACAGAGTCAGACACCCAGGCCAGGCATGTGCCCTCCTCCCCAGCATCCTCCCCCAAGGCATCCCACCTTGACATGTTGCATCAACTCCGGCTTCTGCACAAACAAGAGTGGGCACTCAGGACACTTGAAGACGCCCACCTGCGTCTTGCTGACATTCTGGTAAAAATGCTGCTGAATGTGCCTCTTCTTGTTGAAGACCATTTCACAGGAGCACTTATAAATGAGCCTGGGGAGACAAGCCCCAGGGAATGAGATAGCCAAGGCTCTGCTGGCAGAACCACGCAGCCCCTCCACCCACCTCTGCCAATGTGGATGCTCCCCTGCCTCAGGAGAGCATCCTTAGTATGACCCCAGGCATCTCTGCCCCTAATCCCAGCTCCCTGACCCATCCCTATCCCACCCCCTACAGCACCCAGGCTCCTCTCTGCCCCACAGGGCCTCCTGGCCCTGGAGCTGCACTCACTGGGAGGGTCTGTGGGGCTGCGTGGGGTGCTGGGTGGCACTGTGGTCCGCGGTACTGCTGGCAGTCTTGAAGGCCATGGGGCAGAATGCACATTTGTGGAAAACCTGGCAGTGTCGCTCCTGGATGTGGCTTTTCAGCAAGGCCAAGGTCAGGTGGACGACACCACAGTGGATGCACCTAGACAAAAAGGTGGGGTAGTGTGGGTGGAGCCGAGGGAGTACTGGACCCAGAGGTGGTACTGCAAGAGGGATGGAGAACAGAAACACAGCTATCCAGGCACCTTCTCCCTCCCTCAATCACTCAGACTTCCACTCTCCACAAGTACAGCCTGAGGGTCTGCTTGCTATCATCTGGGACAATGTGGCCACACAGTGGCCCCCAAGCCCAGATCATGCCTTATAAAGAAGGGAGATACCCCAACCCTCCCTGCACTGGCCAGAGGATATTCTGCAAACTGAAAATCTAGCCTACCTAAGAGAAGTTGGTGGAAGTGGAGAGGGAAGAAAATGGTTCCATAATGGCATATTTAAGTGTGAGACAACTGTAGAAGTCCAAGAATTTCAGAAGGAGGTTGCACAAAGCCCATGCCTTCCCACAGGCTGGTACGAGTAAGCAGGGATGGCCACTTAACAAAACATACAGTCAGGCACTGCTATGCTCACCAGAACAACAATTACATTGAAACAACTCTTAAAGCCAAGGAAGAAAGACTCCAGAGTAGTGTTGTCCAGTGGAACTTGCTGTGATAAAGGAATGGTCAATAACTCCACTGGGCCAGGCATAGTGGCTCATGCCTATAATCCCAGCACTTGGGAAGGCCGAGGGGGATGGAAGACCAGACATGGCCGACATGGCAAAAACCTGTCTCTACTAAAAATACAAAAATTAGCTGGACGTGGTGGCATGTGCCTGTAATCCCAGCTACTCAGGTGGCTGAGGCAGGAGAATCACTTGAACCCAGGAGGCAGAGGCTGCAGTAAGCCGAGATTGTGCCACTGCATTCCAGCCTGGGTGATAAAGTGAGAATCTGTCTCCTGGGGGAGGCGTGGGGGGAAGCTCCACTGTTCATGTGCCTATTTCAATTAATAAAATAAAATAAAAATTCAGTTCCTTAGTTGCACTGGCCACATTTCCTGTACCCAGTAGCCACACATGGCTGGTCCTATCCTATACTGCTCCACGCAGCTCAAAAGTGCTGTGATGTCTCCTTGGTGAAACTATGGGTAACTTTTCATTTCTTTTCTCACTACCAATTTGTATTTTCTGGATTGTTTTGTGGATTTTTTTTTTTTTTTTTTTACAATACATAAATAAGATAAAGAATGTCTTAAGCCTTTTTTTGAGGCCATATGGAACTTGTTTCAACTTCATGATATCTCTCTATAAATACTGCTTTTCCTTTTTTCGATATTGGAGAATAATATGATCTTCTTCCATGCCAAGCCGCATCCATAAGATTCCTAGTCCCTCTCCTGTGTTCAGCGTTTCTTCCTGCCTATAAACATACACAGGTCTCCCCTACATGGGAAAACACCTTTCCCCTCTTTGCTATTCCTTATCTTCCTTTTGTTGCAATATTGCCTGGTCTCATAATACTGACATCCCCATAGGCATTAAAGATAGGCAGTTGCTTTGCTAAAATAAAGGGCATGACTTCATTTAAGAATTCTTTGACTCCTGAATGTTACCCTTCATTTTACTACATTAATACTTTTTTTTTTTGAGACAGAGTCTTGCTCTGTCACCCAGGCTGGAGTGCAGTGGCACAATCTTGGCTCACTGCAACCTCCACCTCCCAGATTCAAGTGATTCTGTCTCAGCCTCCCAAGTAGCTGGGATTATAGGCATGTGTCACCAAACCTAGCTTACTTTTGTATTTTTAGCAGAGACAGGGTTTCACCACGTTGGCCAGGCTGGTCTTGAACTCCTGACCTCAGGTGATCTACCAGCTTCAGCCTCCCAAATTGCTGGTATTACAGGCGTAATACATTTTCACAGTCCACATAAATCACAACAGAATCCTGAACAATCTTTTTTCTTCCTTGTGTGTATTAGAGGGAGGGATAGAGAATCACCTTCAAAAATTTAATTAGCAGCCAGGCATGGTGGCTCATGCCTGTAATACCAGCACTTTGGGAGGCTGAGATGGGCAGATCATGAGGTCAGGAGTTCGAGACCAGCCTGGCCAGCATGGGGAAACCCCATCTCTACTAAAAATAAAAAAATTAGCCGGGCATGGAGGCACGTGCCTGTAATCCCAGCTACTCGGGAGGCTGAGGCAGGAAAATGGCTTGACCCCGGGAGGCAGAGGTTGTAGTGAGCTGGGATTGCGCCACTGTACTCCAGCTTGGGTAACAGAGTAAGACTCCATCTCAAAAAAAAAAAGGAAAAGAAAGCAAGAAAATTTAATTAGCAATCATGAGCAGCCCACAGAACCAGAATGAACTCCACAGAGCATTCATTACTAAATTTGTATATGCTTTAAATTAAGGTTTCCATACAAGCTACTTACTTAACTTTCCATTTTTTCCTGCTAAACAAAACAGTGAAACCAACTTCTAGCACATGGAAGTCCTTCCACACTACAAAGTATTATGAAGAGAAAAAAATGCACATATTTTTACATTAATCCAAAGTAGCCAAGTACACCTGATATGAGTAAAGAATCTCTTAAGTGGCTTTATTTGTGCTGTTTGACCACACTTCTGCAGCAACAGTAGAAATACACTCTTCTCAAATGCTACTGAAAATACCTTCTATGTATCTGGTAGACATTCTTTGAGAAACCTCACTGAAAGTAAGAACACACGCAAAGTACCCTCAAGGAAGGACTGAATCCAACAGGGTTTACAAGTTGATGAGAAGGTGTGCAGAAAGAGTGCCAACATGACACAACACTTGACCACAGTTTTTTAAGAGAAAATAGACAATTATAGAATCATATGTTGTGAAATATGTAGTTTTAGAAAAGATAATAAGCAACAAAGTGTTTAACTTTGTTAATAATCACAAATAAGAAAATAACATTACAACAATCTAAACTTACTTCCTTACCACATCTCTGGCCACTCTCCACATTATTAACAAAGAACAGAATAATTTATACACTTTGGAAATATATATATGTATGCATATTTTACATAAAATACATAGAAATTTTATCTGTATTTATATATTACATAACCATATATAGACTTTTTACATTATCTTCAAGTAAAAGCAAAAGTAATGCAAACCATAAAAATATTGTAAAATTCTGTAGTAGAGTGCAATAAAATGGAACATAGGTATCTTGAGAATTTATTTTAAAAAATTAACATCCACAAAGTGGGAGAAAATATTTGCAAATCTGACAAGGAACTTGTATTCAGAAGATATAAAAAACTTATGACTCAATCATAAGATGTCAAGTAACCCAATTCAGAAGTGGGCAAATGAACTGAATAGACATTTCTCCAAAGAAGATGGAGTCCAATAAGCACATGATCAACACCGTTAACCATCAGGGAAACAAGAAACCACTTCCCACCCACAAGGATGGTTACAATAAAAAAGTCAGACTATAACAAGTGTTGACAAGCACACAGAGAAATCAAAACCTTCAAGCACTGCTGGTGGGAATGTAAAAATGGTACAGTCACTTTGGAAAATAGTCTGACAGTTTCTCAAAAAGTTAAACATACAGTTACTATTTTTTTTCTTCTTTTTTAAATTATACTTTAAGCTCTGGGATACATGTGCAGAACGTGCAGGTTTGTTACATAGGCATACACATGCCATAGTAGTTTGCTGCACCCATCAACCCATCAGCTACCTTAGGTATTTCTCCTAATGCTATCCCTCCTCTAGCTCCCCCACCCCGCAACAAGCCCCAGTGTGTGATGTTCCCCTCCCTATATAGTTACTATTTGACCCAGCTATTTTGCTCCTAGGTATCCAAAGCAACTGAAAACATGTCCACATGATAACTTGTACATGAATGTTCTTTAGCAGCATTATAATGGTATTATTCATTATTCATGATAGCCAAAAGGTGGAACCAAACCTAAATGTCCATTAGCTGACAAATGGATAAACAAAACATGGTATATCCCCACAATGGAATCTCATTCAGCCATAATAAGGAATGAAATACTGACATATGCTACAATGTGGATGAACTTGCAAAGATTATGCTAAGAATATTATATAATTCCATTTATATGACATGTCCAGAAGAGCTATGAGACAGAAAGTAAATTAGTGATTGCCTAGGGGTAGGGGGATGAAAGAAGTGGTGGATATGAGGTTTTTTCCTGATAGTAAAATATTCTAAAATTGTTTGTAGTGATTGCACAGCTCTGTAATTAACACTGTAATGGTGTGTACATCTTCTGACTTCAACTGCAGATCACTGAAAATTTTAACATCACTATCTTCAGTAATCCCTCTCGCTGAATCACAATACATTTGGTCTGGCATTCCTTACAAAAAGGTTTGATAAACTGAATTACTTCTGAGACATTACATTTCTTTTTACTTGTACATAAGAAACTATGTAATTAAAAACAAAAAATGGTATTAATCTATCCATATAATTAAAAATTTCTTGGGCCAGGCATGGTGGCTCACACCTGCAATCCCAGCACTTTGGAAGGCTGAGGCAGGTGGATCACCTGAGGTCAGGAGTTTGAGACCAGCCTGGCCAACATCGTGAAACACCATCTCTAATAAAAACAAAAAAATTAGCCAGGCGTGGTGGCACATGCCTATAATTCCAGCTTCTCAGGAGGCTGAGGCAGGAGAATTGCTTAAAACCTGAGAGGCAGAGATTGCAGTGAGCCAAAATGGAGCCACTGCACTCCAGCCTGGGTGACAGAGAGAGATGCCATCTCAAAAAAAAAAAAAAAAAAAAAAAAAAAAAAAAAAAAATTATTGGATTCAAGATTTAAAGATAAATATTTAAGTGTTGATTGTATTACTACTGGATTGGATTTGATCTTGGAACAAGAAGCACTTAAGTCAAGGTTAGAAAGGTATTTTTAAATGTTACAGGATACTGTAAAAACACATATTCAGATGTTTGGTTTAAAATGCAGTTGGGAAGCTGCCAGGCAATGCTGTTCAGCAACATGGTGGTAGGTGCATTGTATAATCCTGTCTTAGGTTTGTCTTGTTTTTAATGTACTTTAGATACTCCATCCTCCATAAGATGAAAAAGAAATCAGTCTACATTTTAAAATGTTTACACCAGCCAGGCACAGTGGCTCATTCCTGTAATCCCAACACTTTGGGGAGTTGAGGTGGAAGGATCATTGAGCTCAGGAGTTTTGTGATTGGCCTGGGCAACATGATGAAACTCTTGTCTCTACAAAAAATACAAAAAGTTAGCCAGGCATTGTGGTGTGCGCCTTAGTCCCAGCTACCTGGGAGGCCGAGATGGGAGGATCACCTGAGCTTAGGAGGTCAAGGCTGCAGTGAGCCACATTCACACTACTGCCCTCCAGCCTGGGAGACAGTGAGACCCTGTCTCAAAAAATACATAAAAATATAATGTTTACCCCAAGACAAAAATCTGGGAGTCATTGCAAAGCTTTATATATGCATGTTAACAAAAAATATGTGTGTATGTGTGTGTGTGTGTGTGTGTGTGTGCGTATGTATGTGTGTTAACTTCCCAGAATGATCTTTCTAAAACACACTAGTGAGATTACTACCCTGCTACAAATCTTTCAATGTCCACTGGAAAATGTCCAAACGCCTGCCAAGGAATATAAGGTATTGCATGGCCTGGCCTGGCCTGGGGGCCTCTGCCAAACTCCTCATCCCTCATTCCATATAAAAGCTATTATCAAATCTCGATGCTTCTTCCTAAACCCCTCTCAAGTCTACCTTTTCTCCACTCCTATGATCATTCCTTCAGTGAAGCCCTCAGCATCTCATCTGGACCATCATACTTGCCTTTCAGGAAGTCTCTTGTCTCTCCCCTCACTAATATGTGTGTTCACTTCCCAGAATGATCTTTCTAAAACATACTAGCCGAATCACTGCCCTACTGCAAATCTTTCTGTAGCTCCTCACTGTCCACTGGATAAAGTCCAAATGTCTACCAAAAAATACAAGGTCTTGCATGACCCGACTCTGCCAACTCCCTAGTTTCATTTCTCCCCACTCCCACAATTCATCCTGACATTCTTCTATACAATCATAATTATCATTCCTGACACCCCTTATCTGTACGCTGAGATTCCTGCTCAGGCCCTTGCCAGGTATGCTTTCCCTCTCTTTTGTCTGAAAAATCTCCTAATATCTCCTTTAGGAAGCTTTCCTGACCATTTCTCTACTGTGGGACTTAGCACTCTGAGTTACAATTACTTATGTTCTTTTCTCTTGTAACCTACCAGGGCAAGGACTGTGTCTCAATCATCTTTTTACCCTGAGTGTCTAACACAATGCTAAAGACAATAATGAGTACACACAAAAAAGTCAAACAAACTAAAACACAAAAACATTTAATGCCAAAGAGCAGAAAACAAGTTACAGATCAATGAGCTCTAGAGGGAAGTTTTCTCCTCACTTCGATCTTTTTCCCGAAAATGACTTCTTGCTATGTGTGTTTGACACAATGGAGGAGATTCCATTTAAAATAAGAGTTTTCTTGGTTTTACTATGAGGCTGATCCTTTTTTCTATTCTCAGGTTTTGGTTATTTTGCCACAAACTGACAAAAATTAACAAAAAGAAAGATACTAAAGCCCTTTGAGTTTGGCATCTTGTAGCCCTGTTTGTTAAAACCTGCAAACATTTCCAAGTACTGTAATTAGTACATTCATTATTTAAACAGTACTGTACATTTACTGTGCCAAACATGTTAACTTTGTGAGCAAATTAAACTTACATACTTTTTTAAACCAAATAAAGTATTACATGCATTCTAGTCTCCCCAAAATTCCAGAGCTATTTTTTTAATACTTAAGTTTTTTAAAATCCTCACTCTTCTCTCTCTCTTGTTCTTCCTGTCTGCTACCAAATAAAAAATGTCTATCCACATACCATCCAATGCTCTTGTCCTATTGAACTGGAACCCAGGCCTCTTAAGACCAAAACTATCTGAAATGAATTCTGGCTTAGGAAAAGGACCAGCCATTGGGCAATACCAGGACAGCAAGCCAGGCAGCACCCACCTGTAGCCCACCTTGCGGGCATAGTGCAGGCAATTCTCCTTTACATGTGTCTGGAAGTAGGCAGAGCGGCAGAGGACCCCACACTCCGGGCAGCAGTAGGGGGACTTGTGTGCATGAATCCGCTGGTGGGCACAGAAACTGCACTGGTTGGGCAGCAGCATCTGGCATACCTGGCAGGTCTAGGAAAGAACACCAAGAAAGCAGATCATGCAGAGGACACAGGCCTGTGGTTCTCCAATTGGGCCTGTCTGGCTTTCTAGTATCTGGGTCAGAACAGCTCCTTCCCCCAACCATTCTCTCTTCCAACTCTCCTAGACACTTCTGACACCCTGAGACCTCATTTTGAGTGTTGATACTGATACCCAAAAAAACTTTGTCTGACACCTTATTAATCACCTATTCTCTCTGATTTAGCAGAACTAGCTTTTCCTTTGTAGAGGCCTAAAGCACTTCTTGAATTCTAAGACCTCACTGTACTGCCAGACCCACCAGTGTCTCTGTCATAGCTCAGTAGAGGCAGTTCTTGCCATCCACCCACAACAATTGCCTGGTGGAGACCTGCTCAAACCTCTAGTCAGGTGGTTCAGTGACTTCCAAAATGGATCTGAGACCACCCTGACTGGTATTCAGAAGGCTCTCAATATAGACTGACTGAGTGGTCTTGCCAGTTTCCATCACTCTAGCCCTGTTTGCCCACTCTTGGGAGTGGGAGAGTTGCAGAGGCAGATGGGAGGTGGCGGGGGCAGGGGGGGGCGTTCCCTGAGCCACAGCTAAGCAAATATACCCAGAGACAGGGTAGATTAGGTAGCAGCTCCTTTGTTCTCAGCCTCAGGAGAAAACCAGGGGAAGTACAAGTCCTACAACTGGGCTCACTGAAGCTGATGGGCAGAGCTCTGACAAGCAGCCAGCCCACGGGGAAATGGAAAAGACTTAGCTGATGCCTACATGATGAAAAGGTTCTTCTTAACTTCTTAGTAAAGGAGACACCTATCCTACTCACAGAGGGGGACAATGATGTGGAGTCAGAGGCACTGCCTAAAGGGACACAGAAGTCAGCTCGAAGGGGCTGCCACTGACCAAAAATGGGTAACATGAGCATCAAAAAGAATGACTGAATATGTAAACACATTGAATGTATAAAAATCAATGAGCCATTACAACATCAAAACCAACAGAGGAGGTCACCTCAAACTCACTAAGAAGACTACTGTTTTTTTTTTTTTCTGGAGGCACAGTCTTGCTCTGTCACCCAGGCTGGAGTGCAGCGGTGTGATCTGCGCTCACCACAACCTCCACCTCCTGGGTTCAAGCGATTCTCCTACCTCAGCCTCCAGAGTAGCTGGGATTACAGGTGTGTGCCACTGCATTGGGCTAATTTTTTGCATTTTTAGTAGAGATGGGGTTTCACCATGTTGACCAGGCCGCTGGTTTTAAACTCCTAACCTCACGGTCTGCCCGCCCACCTCCGCCTCCCAAAGTGCTGGAATTGCAGGCATGAGCCACCATGCCCCGCAGATGACCACTATTTGAAAGAACAGAAAATAAGTGCTGGTGAGGATGTGGAAAAGCTGGCACACTTGCATACTGTTGGCAGGAATATAAAATGGTGCATCTACTGTGGAAAACAGTACAGTGGTATCGCAAAAAGTTAAACATACAACTATCATATGATCCAGCAATGCTATGTCTGGGTGTGTACTCAAAAGACTTAAAAGCAAGATCTTAAAGAGATAATACTTTTGAGCCCATGTTCATAGCAACATTATTCATAATAGCTAAGACGTTTAAATAACTATCAATGGATGAAAAGATAAACAAAATGTGGTATATACACACAATGGAATATTATTCAACCTTAAAAAAGAATTTTTTTTTTTTTAGATGGGATCTCAGTCTGTCACCCAGACTGGAGCACAGTGGTATGATTGCAGCCCTCCACAACCTCCACCTCCTAGGCTCAAGCGATTCTCCTGCCTCAGCCTCCCGAGTAGCTGGGATTACAGGCACATGCCACTACTGCCCAGCTAATGTTTTTTTGCTGTTTTTTGGTTTTTTTTTTTTTTAGTAGAGACAGGGTTTCACCATGTTAGCCAGGCTAGTCTCGAACTCCTGACTTCAAATAAATGATCCACCCACCTCAGCCTCCCAAAGTGCTGGGCTTACAGGTGTGAGCCACTGCGCCTGGCCAGAAAAGAAGGAAATCTGGACACATGCTACAACATAGATGAACCTTGAGGACATGCTAAATGGAAAAGCCAGTCACAAAAAGACAAATGCTGTGTGATTCCACTGGTATGAGATACCTAGAATATTCAAACTTCTAGAGACAGATAACATAAGGGTGGTTGCCAGGGCTTGGGGGAAGGAAGAGAAATGGGACCTGTTTTTTGTTTGTTTTTTTAAATGAGTACAGGGTTTCAGTTTTGTAACATGAAGAGTTCTGGAGACTGGTTTTACAACAATGAGAATATACTCAACATTAACACTACTGAACTGTACATATCAAAATATTGTAATGGGAAATTTTATATTACATGTAATTTACCACAATTTTTTTAAAAATAGAGGAGGGACTCTTAGAACACCAATTGAGAATGTCAGGGTATCAACTCACAACTCTGAAAACTGCTAATTAAAAGGAACAAATTAATTATCCCAATTTTCAACATAAACTCTTTTTGAGAGTAACCACATAGCCCTCATGGAAGCAAGAACGATACTTTAGAAATAAACAATAGATTAGAAAAATATCCTTTGAAACTCAATAAAATCAGACTCAAGCAGTGATTGCTGATGAATAATTAGGTAAAAGTTGGGGAGCTTTACAATGAAGGGATCAAAATATCATCACCTAAATTCACTCTCATCAATTCAGCACCATTAAAAGTGAGAAAATCAGGTGCTTTGTGCCTCCTTAAGTCATGAAACAGGAAGAACTGAAGCACCCTCCACCCCACCTCCATCAAAAATGACCTGAATCTAATCAAGTCTTTATTGCTAACTTCCAGTCTACCAAAAAAAAACATGGGATATGGAGGAAAAAATTAATTGCATGAGGAAGTAATCAGTAAAACTCAAAGTAGTTCTAGAAAACTCAGGAAGCAATCAGTCAAACCCAGAATTGCTCTGGAAAATACTCAGAACACATGACCCAGTTTCTTCAACAAGTCAATGGCATGAAAAAGGGGTGCCCACTAGGATGGAGGGGGAAGAGGTACTCTTCCAGACTGAACTATTTATGAAACACAAACAAATGTGATGTGTAGTCCCGTGTTCAGATCCTGACTCAAAATAATCCCAACTGTAAAAAGACATTTTTTGACGTAATTGGAAAAATGTGAATGTGAACTTGTAGTAGGTGATATTAAGGGATTACTATTGTGTTGGGTGGAATGACAATATCCATCTGTGCTGACATCCTGCCCCAACAACGTGGCTTGGAAAGCAAGAAGGATCAAAGACTCCCTTGGTCACTGCAGAGGGAGGCATGCTCCGTTTAGGGACAGACTCCCAGGAAAAAGATGGAAAGCCCAAACCCATGCTGGTCCCATAGTCCCTGCTGTGGTATGGAGCCCAATCTATCTGTCTACCCCCTGCTCTGGACATATGGGCTGAAGCTAGATACTGTCCTGTGGAAAACCCAAGCCCAGCAACCACCAAGCCTAGTTTTTAATCCCAGAGCTCAGGGCTTTCCCTCAGACTCAGAAGCCACATAGCGTAGCATGAGACTTTGTGAGGGATTTGGAACTAGCTGAGAGAGGCCCAACAGCCTCTGCGCACTCCCTCCCTTCCTGTCTAGGGCTGCTCTTCTCCAGCTCCCACTAGGGCAGAATGACACAGACAGGATGTAGGATGAGAAGGGGGCCATGCCCGCCTGGGATCCTACACCCAGACCTCTGCCTACTCCAATTTTAGAAGATGCATAAGGAGCCCAGGTGCAGTGGCTCACATCTGTAATCCCAGCACTTTGGGAGGCCAAGGCGAGTGGATCACTTGAGGTTAGAAGTTCAAAACCAGCCTGGAGAAACATGGCAAAACCCTGGCTCTACTAAAAATACAAAATTTAGCTAGGTGTGGTGGTGCACGCCTGTAGTCCCAGCTACCTGGGAGGCTGAGGCAAGAGAATCACTTGAACCCAGGAGGCAGAAGTTGCAGTGAGCCAAGACTGCACCACTGCACTCCACACTAGGCAACAAAGCAAGATTCCATCTAAAAAAAAAAAAAAAAAAAAAAAAAAGATACATAAGGAACAGTGTGAAAACATCCCAGGCCCAGGCAACAGACCTCCACTGCCAAGGGTCCTTATGGTCCCTTGACTCAGATAAAGTAAACCTGGCCCAACTCAACCATGGTGGGGCAGCAAGAACACTGAAGCCCCAGAGGAGGGGGTCCAGAGTGACCACACACTATCTGACGCATCAGAAGAAAAACGCAAACTGAAACAGAGCAGGAGGAGATGCGTGGGATCTACAGTGGGATCCTATAGCAGCTCCTGGCCCCTTTGCGGGTGAGTCCTCTGCAGAAGCCCTACCGGCCCACCAAACAATCTCTGACCTCTACCCCTACCCCAACATTCCCAAGACCAGCCTCAAGCACAACTTCCTGTTCCTCAAACCCACTCTGCACTCTCACATTCCTTTGCTCGCTACACTCAGAACACCCTTGCCCCTCCCACTCCTCCAAACTTATCCTTGCAGCATCTTCCTTATGCATGGAATCACCATAACTTGGTCCCTCTGAGGCAGTTGTACAACAAGGTTTATAACCTTGGTTTAGCCCCAGTCTCAGTCTGCCATCTATTATAGCCATGTATTATAGCTGTTTCGGTGGTGATCACTGCCCTTGCTAAGCAACTGAGAGCTCCTGGAGGTGAGACTCCCTTCCACTGGCATCCCCTGCTTGGGCACAGACCACCCCGCCCATGCACAGCGGGCACTCAGGGAACACATGCAAAGCTCATCAGCTACCAACACATGCACAGACCCCTGGCTGAACTGCAGCAAAAAGAGCTGTTTTGCTTTCCTCCCAGGCCTCTGTAGCACCAGCTGAGGGAAGCGCCATGAGGGGTGAGTTTGGCTACGTCATGAAGAGAACCACCTTCTGGAGGCCTCCTTCTCCTGGGAAACTGCTAACACGTAACACAGACACAGAGGGTGCCAAAGGGTACTCTCAGCACACAAGGCTTTTTTTTTCTTTTTTAACAAATCTCATCAAACATAACCAAGAATCTAAACAACCAGATAAGCACAGTTGCTTTCCTGGAGTGGTGAGAACGCAGTTGAAAGAAGGAGACTCCATAAACCTCTGCCCACAGGCTCCACGTATCTGTCCGCCCTCCTCCCTTCTATCCTGGCCCTGCCACTGCCCGCACTGCAGTTTTCACAAAAGGACTCCTGCAAAAACAGCTGTGTCACTGCAGGGTAGAACAACAACTTTTTAAAGACACAGTTCTTTGGCTAGGCACAGTGGCTCATGCCTGTAATCCCAGCACTTTGGGAGGCCAAGGTGGGAGGATAACTTCAGGCCAGGAGTTCAAGACCAGCCTAGGCAACATGGATGAAACCCTGTCTCTACCAAAAATGCAAAAATTAGCTGGGAGTGGTGGTGCAGGCCTGTAGTCCCAGCTACTCAGGAGGCTGAGGCAGGAGAATCACTTGAACTCTGGAGGCGGAGGTTATAGTGAGCCAAGATCCTGCCAATGCACTCCAGCCTGGGTGACAGAGCAAGATTCCATCTCAAGAAAGAAAGACACAGTTCTTAGAGCAGACTGAGGTGCAGGGGCGGTGACTCACCTATCTCTGCCCCCAAGTTCCTTGGTCACACGCTAAGACTGTGCTGACACCTGCCAGAGACCAGAGGGAGATCATCCAGTAAACACTTACCTCAGGCCTGACACTGGGCCTTAACAGACCCTTCAAGGAGAAATTGAGTGGAACACGGGACACATCCATAGATACACTTGCTAAATTAGGGTCTCACCTTAGTATGAGCAGGACATATTTTCCAACAAACACCAAGCACTAAATATTCAGGCAGACGTCCTCTTCTAACACTCATAAGATTCCACCACTGCCCTCATATCAATAAGCTTTCCTCTCCATGCCCAGTCATGGAACCTGTATAAGCCAGGGGCCCGATACCCATATCAGTGAGGGTCTGCTTACCAGCCCCTCTGTCTCCTCTGTTGTCCTCTGGAAATGTGCAGCCAGGACCATATAGTCCCGCATCTGCTTGTGACATTCAAGACACTTGACTGAGTACCGGATGAGCCTCACGGGGTCTGGGTAGAGCGGCAAGGCTGGAGGAGGGGGGCTGGCACTGCCTGAAGTGAGGCCATGTTTGGGAGAGGATGAAGGGGCTGGGGCTGCTGGGGCTGCTGGTGCCGTGGAGTTCACAGGGGCCGACACGAACATTTGGTCCGCAGAGATGGGCTTCACCAGCAGCTGGGAACACTGCATGACGAGCCCCTTGCTCTTGTGGTCACGGGCGTGCCGTAGCAGGCTGCACTTGTTGAAGAAGAGCAGCGTCTTGGAGCACAGTGTGCACAGTACCTCAATGTGGACGCTCCGCCGGCCATAGTGCTGGCTCAGGCTCTTCTCTAAGGCAAATGCGTCTCCACACTCCAGGCAGCAGTACCCACTGGCCGGCACGTGGATCCTGCTGTCCGCAGGCGGGCTGAGATTTGGCGCATAGAGGGGCACGGGGTTGGAGCTGTGGAGGACCTTGTTGAAGACCTCTACAATCAGTGGGGCAGCCTTTTTCACCTGGTGGACCAGGGGCACCGACATTTGCGTAAGCTGTGGCTGACTCCGTCTTTGCGCTGAGGACTTGGCTGTCACTGATGCAGCAACACTGTGGGGGACGAGGTTCAGGTTGGCCAAGTGCACGGCTTTGGGCAGGAGGTTGGCAGGGGCCAGGGTGGAGGCCTGCAGTGCTGTATTCTGTTGCTTCTTGCCTGTCTGTGAGCCCAGGGCAGCCCCCTTTGGGACCCGGGGCCCAGAACTACAGCAGAGAGATGAAGAGTCACTGGTCTTTGACATGCTCTCGTCCCCTTTCCTGTCCCCCTGGGGGCTCCCTGAATTTGTGCCTGCCTCAGGAAAGCGCTCTTCCACAGGCACCTCATCCCCTGGCACCTCACTTGGGGCTTCAGCAATGGCGCTCCCTAGAGGTGACCCAACAGGGGACTTACTTGGATCATCAGGATCTGGCAGGATCCTTGTGACAGTCCGTTTGATTTCCCCTGATGATGTCTTAATGGTTTTGATTCTCACTTTGGGAATTGCTGGTGGAGAGCTGGCAGCCACAGACGGTGAGCCTTTGCTGCTGCTATCACTACAGATGCTACGAGGGCTGTCGGATGGCTTGATACTTTTTCTAGTGGCCTCCAGAGGGCTCCGGGGACTCTTTGGTGACTTAGGCATTTTGGGGCTACCTTTAGAACCCTCTCTAGTGGGCCCTGAGGGATCCTTTGTGTGGCCAGGCTGATCCTCCTTAGTGACACTAGCCACTCTTTTGGCCTGCAAGGCCACCAAAGCTGCCACACAAGAGGACAGCTTGGAATGAGCTGGCTTTAGACGCTGCCTAGGGGGGACTGATGAACAGGTACCAAGCTCCCGGGCAAGCCCCTTGGACTCTCCAATACTGTTGCTAGGATTGCTGTTGAACTCCAAAGCTTCCCCAAAGAATCGAGTGGTATCCAGATCTTTGTGAGGTTCCACTGCCTTCTGCCCACCTCGCTCGTGTTCCTGCTGGCTCTCCAAGGGAAGGGGTTCTGGCTTGGGTTCTTTCTTACAAAAATGATCAAACATATGCAGCTCTGGGACTGGAAACTTAGCCAGAGCCTCCAGGACTGGGCCCCCCACAGCCCCGCACCCAAGAGGGGATGAGAAATAACTGTCAGAGTGTTTGGGCTTTATCCCAAATCCGTTATCTTTGATGGAATCTTCAGGCTCTGGGCTGGAGATTGGACTGAACTGATTGAAGGTGGGTAATGGCTCTGACTTGGGAGGCTCCAGTTTGCCAGGGAAACTCCTGGCACTGTCTCCATTCATAAAAGTAGAATCAAATTTCCCACAGTTGTGGGGATCTGGAGGCAGATCTGAACCCCGGAATCCATTGTGTAGGAGGCTGGGAGTAATGTGGTCTTTCTCCGCTTCAAACGACTCCTGGCGGCTGGTGTTCTTGACAATGACACTCACGGCCGGCACATCAGGGGCAGATCCTGAGTGAGACAAGGACACGCTTTCATCCATACAAATGCCTGGGGGCTTGAGGGGACTCTCATTCTCCTCACTCGGTGTCTGGATGGCCTCCTTGGCATCAAGGCTGGTGGGGTCTGGGATGTCAAAGGCAGCCAGAAGGTCATCAAAATCTGGGGTTTTCATATCCCCCATGGCTGGACGCTGGAAAGGGCTATAACAGAAACAGAGAACAGAATCAGTGACCACCACGGTCCCACTGGACCATCTTCATTATACACTCATCAAACTAAGGCACATACAGTCAGCACACGCATGCTGAACCCCACATACTGTGACAGGAAGCCACACACCTCAGTTTTACCCCAACAGGTTTCTAAAATGCTTGAAAGGTGGGGGCAGAGATGGAAAGAGTAGTGAGATGTACCAACAAGCCTGCCTGGCACTTCTTAAACCTCAGTACCTGGAAATTAATGGCTGGTTACATAGCTGCAAAGAGTACACTCCTACCATACTCCCTCGGCTTCTCAGGGAACATCATCCCTCCATGATCATGTGTACTAGCAAAAAAAGCCACTCAGCACTTCATCCTTTAGAAAACTACTGATTCATACATGAAGCCTGGCTATAACTTCCTCTGCTAATTTACGCTTAGTAATTACTCACTAACTTTATATAACTTTGGGTTTTTTGCTGCATAAATTCAATCAAATCCAAAATGCTTTGCTATTTGTGCTGTTTCATGAATAGACTCTAGAAAATGATGTCATTCGTAGGTATTTCTTCTCTGTTCAGCAGACATACTTGATTCCTTTTTACCCTAAAACTGTTATCAGTTGGTGAATGCTCCTCCATTAAACCTGAGGAGCAGTGACTTGCAAAGCACCAACAGTTATCAAATTGGTCAGCTGACAGTTTGAGTAAAGCCTAAATTCTATTTTGACTTAATATAAAAAGAATAGAATAATAATTCTATTTTAACTTCATGCACCTATTTCCTTCATGACCTGGGGAAGCAGAGCTACAGAACTACCTCAACAGAGGAGACACAAGGCCCTGGAGAGACCTTCCATCAGGACATTCTTATAAAACTCACACTTAAGATGAAACATGAAACTGGCTGGCTAAAACCTGCTGGAGGGAGAATAAAAACCTTACCATCTCCCTTTAAATCCTGCATCTGCTTCAGCATTCCAGGGCCTTACTGGCTTTCGTGTTTCTTACATCATATTTGTGCTGAAAACCTTTCTGGACACAGATTGGCACAATTCTTTCAGAAAGCAGTATCGTAGCTTCACAGAATCAGAAAAGTACGTTCAGGAACCCCACCTCTAGAAATTTATCCTAAGAACAAAAATTCCCAAAAGCTATATGCAAAGTTATGTGTTACAGCATTATTTAAAAAGCACAAAAGAGAAATATACACACAAAAAAATTTAAATGTCTAAGACCAAGGAATAAATACCTGATAGACTAATATGCAGTCATTAAAAATTCTCATTATGGGCTGGGTGCAGTGGCTCACGCCTGTAATCCCAGCACTTTGAAAGGCCGAGACAGGCAGATTGCTTAAAGTCACGAGTTAAGAGACCAGCCTGGCCAACATGGTGAAATCCTGTCTCTACTATAAAAAAAACTAGCCAGGCATGGTGGTGGCTGCCTGTAATCCCAGCTACTCCAGAGACTGAGGCAGGAGAATCGCTTGAACTCAGGAGGCAGAGGTTGCCATGAGCCAAGATCACACCACTGTACTCCAGCCTGGACTACAGAGTGAGACTCCATCACTAAACAAACAAACAAACAAACAAACAAACAAACAAACATTATGAAATCTACATAGCAACAAGGAAAATTACTTATAACGTCAAGTTTAAAAACGCGAATACAGCCGGGCGCGGTGGCTCAAGCCTGTAACCCCAGCACTTTGGGAGGCCGAGGCGGGTGGATCACGAGGTCAAGATCGAGACCATCCTGGTCAACATGGTGAAACCCCGTCTCTACTAAAAAAATACAAAAAATTAGCTGGGCATGGTGGCGTGTGCCTGTAATTCCAGCTACTCAGGAGGCTGAGGCAGGAGAATTGCCTGAACCCAGGAGGCGGAGGTTGCGGTGAGCTGAGATCGTGCCATTGCACTCCAGCCTGCATAACAAGAGCGAAACTCCGTCTCAAAAAAAAAAACGCGAATACAAAAATATTGTCAGATTATAACAGTGTAAAACTATGCATGCATTTGAGCCAAGATTAAAAGAAAAATGAAAGAATTACTATTGAGTTATTTTTTCAAAACTTTTTTAGGGAGCTGATAGATTGCATTTATAATTTTTAAAGGGAAAAATAACAACAATAAAAACCCACTCAGAACCACAAGGGCAGCAGGTGGCAACACAAGAGGTATATCTCTTACCACCCCATGGGATCAACAGGTTTTCAGGTATGGTTTCTTGCCCCACTTCCAACTCTCAGCAAAACATATCTGCCTGCATAAGAGTTCTCACAGAAAATGAGAACTACACTCCCTCCTGTTGGGAAGATATCTTCATGGTAATAATAAAGTGCAACACCAATTACCTAAACATGGGTTGGCAGAACACCCCACTGGAGTGAGATACAAAGTTTTGAACAGAACAAATGTTTGTCCCCTGGAATAGGAGGTGTTGGAACCCATAAACAAGAGGAACATACTGGATGCCACTGAAAGCAGTGAACACTCAATACCAAGTGACCTACTATGCAGGGGAATCCTAACTATAAGGAAACACCTGCATGATATTTGCTTTATAAGTTTTTCTTTTTTTGTTCTTTCTTTCTTTTAAATGTCTAGGAAAGGCCAGGTGCAGTGGCTCACTCCTGTAATCCCAGCACACTGGGAGGCTGAGGCGGGTGGATCACATGAGGTCAGGAGTTCAGGTCCAGCCTGGTCGACATGGTGAAATCCCGTACCTACTAAAAATACAAAAAGTAGTTGGGTATGGTAGCAAACACCTGAAAGTCCCAGCTACTAGAGAGGCTGAGGCAGGAGAATCGCTTGAACTCAGGAAGAGGAGGTTGCAGTGAGCTGACATTTCACCACTGCACTCCAGCCACTGCACTCCAGCCTGGGCAATGGAGCAAGACTCCGTCTCAAAAAAAAAAAAAAAAAAAAAAAAAAAGTCTAGGAAAAAAAGATTGAGGAGAAAGGGCAGAATAGATATCCCAAGTCTTATTAAGGAGCTGGAAAAAGTAAGTGGGAGAAGAGTAGAAAAAGCTGACTGTGTGTATAAGGATTAGCTGGGAGCCTGCTATAGTCTAATATGAAGTTGCAGCGGCTTGAAACAGAGAAAGATTACATCAGAAGTAAAGCTCTCCTCACAGAGAAATCTCAGGAATTGAAGAGAATGATCGGAGGTAAAGTAAATATCTTTTGCTGGAAAATCAGAGCTAGTAAATGGTGTGACAGCTCAATATTAGCAGCAGAAAAAACTTTTATAGAGATTTTAGGTCCAGCACAGTGGCTCACGCCTGTAATCTTAGCACTCTGGGAGGCTAAGGGAGGAGGATCACTTGAACCCAGGAGTTCAAGACTAGTTTGGGCAACATAGTGAGACTCTGTCTCTATTTTTAAAAAGAATAAAACACATTAATAATAACAATAATAATAAATGTTTTAAATGCCAAAGCTGAAAGCCTTTAAAAGCCAAAGATGACATCCTGTTTTCTATTTAGCTCCAGTAAGAAAAACCAAAAACAGCAGCAATCAGTAACTGTGAATAAGGTACTCCATCGTGCACCTACATGTTTATAGTTACTTGAACCTTGATCTAAAGCATCACATTGCTTTTAGATATAAATTAATCGAAATGTATCCTGTTATAAAAGCAAAAGAAGAAACTATAAAGAAAAAGACAACCAATAAAAAAGTTCTATGTATCGAAACCTGCCAGCACAAAGTTAAAAGGCAAACAACAAATCAAAAGGAATATTTGCAACATATAGTTATTATCATTAATAACTTAATTAAAACATAAAAAGCCCTTACAGGGGGACCTCCTCTTTTGGCTTTGGAGCCCCCGATCCCTCTGTCTCTGTACAAGGGGGCGTCTTCCTTCTGTCTTCTCCCTTACTTCTTGACTACTAAACTCTCGGTTCCTTAAAGCCAAAAATAAAATAAAATAAAATAAAATAAAATAAAAGCCCTTATAATAAGTAAAAGATAAGCAACCCGTTAGAAAAATGAGTGAGGGTGAAGAGCAGACAATTAAAACAAGAAACACAAATGGACAGATTAGAAAAAATACTCCAGAATGAAGTTAGGTTAGAAGAATATTCCAAATGTTAGAAGTATCTCAACAGATGAAATTATTTTTCCTTTTATCTTCATTTTAAAATTATTCAAACTATTTGTTTCAAACTGTATTACTTATGTAACTTTATTAAATTATGTTTTTAGCACTTTGGTGAAAGGCCAAGGTAGGATGATCACTTGAGCCTAAGGTTCAAGACCAGCCTAGGCAACATAGTGAGACCCCCATCTGTTTTTTTCTTTTCTTTTTTTGAGACAGAGTCTCACTCTGTCACCCAGACTAGAGTGCAGTGGCATGATCTCTGCTCACTGCAACCTCCGCCTCTGAGGTTCAAACAGTTCTCCTGCCTCAGCCTCCCAAGCAGCTGGGACTAAAAGCGCAAGCCACTATGTCAGACTAATTTTTGCATTTTTAGTAGAGACGGGGTTTCGCCATGTTGGCCAGCTAGTCTCAAACTCCTGACCTCAAGTGATCCACCCACTTTGGCCTCCCAAAGTGCTGGGATTACAGGTGTGAGTAACCAGGCCCAGTCCCTCTTTTTTTTTAATGTAAAAAAATTTTAAATTATATTTTTAATATACAAAAAAAAAAATAGAAGGATCTAGGCAGGCGAAAAAGTTTGAGGAGCTTCTTACAAAAGACTCTAAAAATAATATAACTTTTTTTTTTTTTTTTTTTTTTTTAAACAGAGTCTCATTCTGGTCACCCAGGCTGGAATGCAGTGGCACGATCTTGGCTCACTGCAAACTCCTCCTCCCAGGTTCAAGCAATTCCAGTGCCTCAGCCTCCTGAGTAGCTGGGATTACAGATGTATACCATCACACCTGGCTAATTTTTTTATCTTTAGCAGAGATGGGGTTTCCCCATATTGGCCAAGCTGGTCTCAAACTCCTGGCCTCATGTGATCCACCCGCCTCAGCCTCCCAAAGTACT